TTTGCTCTCCTTTTCTCTCTCCCAATAGTCTAATCAACAATTGATAACAAATCTCTATCCGAAAGAGAGAGAGAGAGAGAGAGAGAGAGAGAGAGAGAGAGTAAATAATTTATTAATACAAAAATCTGGTCATGTTATTGTTAGTCGACAAAATATTTAATCAAATTTATTGTTGTTTAATTTAGTGTATATTTATTTATTAGCCTTAGAAAACAACTTTTATTATTTACTTCAAGAATAAATTCATAATTATTAACATCACTAATAAATTTAAATTGTAATCTAAATTTTTTAAAACAATCACCTAGGTTATATTTGGCCGCAAATATTCGCCGGACGTCTGGCCGAACTATACGGCGCTAAATACCTAATACTCGTCTCAATACTAGTGTCGGGACTAATAAACCTGTTCACACCTCTAATAGTGCGCACAAATTTTACCCTGTTCATCGTGTCGCGGGTGGTGTTGGGGTGTTTCCAGGCGGTCATATACCCGGCCTCTTACGCCTTGTTTGCCAAATGGATACCTGAGGCCGAGTACAGCACTTTCATGCCATGGCTGGACAGTGGCATCACAATAGGCACTGTCATTGCATCGGCCGGTGCCGGCAATATACTCGAGTGGGAGGAGATGGGTGGCTGGCCCACCATATTCTACCTATCTGGTATAGTTTAGATAACTAATTAATAATTTAGATTTACACAAAACTTAAATCACAACAAAATTATTAGCATGCTACTAAATTTAAATTGATATTTTTTTTATAAAATGGTATTTATTTTAAGAGTTTTGTTAAAAAATTTTGAATATTTAAATATATAAATGTTTGCTAATTTGTTTTTAATGCCCACATTCAGGTATAATATCGCTGGTATGGTGTGTGTTATGGCAACTGACCATCACGTCTACGCCCGACGAACACACTTGGATAACACATAGAGAGCTACAGTACATACAGTGTCGAGCGTCGACCTCTACCGACGGCGAAACCCACCAAAAACAGTGTACATCCGATTTGGGCGAACGGAGGGCACCAAACAAACGGCGCCCATCTATACCGTGGGCGCGGATATTCACGTCGCGGCCATTCATGGCCGCACTCATAGCCAAAGTCACTTACGGCATAACGTTTGACTTTATGACCACCAAAATACCCGCCTATTTGCAAGACGTGGTACACTTTCCCATCGCTGAAAACGGCTACACCTACTCGCTGATCATGGTCGGTTTTGCGATCACCTTGCTCACCTGCGGTTACGGTGCCGACAAGCTGATCATGCACTCTGGCCTATCGAAAACCACCGTGCGCAAACTGTTTCAAACGATATCGGGCGTGGGAATGGCCGCGACGCTGGTGCTGTTGCCGTGGGTCGGGTGCAGTAAGTCGGGCACAGTTGCGCTGTTGACCGCCTGTATGCTGGCCTACGGGTTCACGTCGGGCGGCGACGTACCGATAGTGCCCGACATGAGCGACGCGTACGCGGGCACTGTGTTCGCGGTGATGAACACCCTGTGCTCGTTCAGCGGCTTTATTGTGCCCTATTTTGTGGGCGTGTTAATCGATGACGATCCCACCTCGATGCTTTTGTGGAGCTACACGTTTTACGTGTCCGCAGTCATTGATTTGGTCGGTACCCTGGTGTTTGTGTTGTACGCCTCGGCTAAGCCCCAGCACTGGGAACGCTCTATTGATGATGGGGTTAAGGATGTGACCGCCGATCGGGACGTTAGGGTAGATGAGAAAAGTGTAATTTTAGATGATTTACGCAGACATAAGGCTGGTTACGATAGTTGCGGATATAATGTACCGTAGATTTTGCCAATTTTACCAGGATAATCAAGATAATTTTAAATCTTCATGTATAATCTAAATATAACAATTAATAATCAAATAATTATTTGTAATTTAAAGTATATTTTATCAATTTACACATGTCAGTTTTATTATTTTAATATTATTATTTACATTTTAAATAAATATTAGTTTTAATACAAATGAATTTTTAAATTAATATAGATTGTACTTATATAATTATTTACACATCATGACAATATTAAATTATAATATTATTTATAATAATTAATTTTATGAAAATATCAATTAAACTTGTATGAAGAATAATTGTACGGCCTTGATCACTTTAATACATAATACTATGAAAATGATACAATAGAGGGCAATACTGAATCTGGCTTTAATGTGTTACGGAATATTCTTTAATACAGATAATTCTTGAATAATATAAATATTATTTTAATTAATCTTAATGTATTTGATTAGTAGATATAAATGTTTGTCTATTATATTAAATGTCCGAATAATACAAATTAAGTTATATTTTCCAAAATAATAATTAATTATATTTTCTAATTATAACATTGATTATAATTATTTAACGCAAAACTCTATATCGTAATTAATGGTATAGATTAATTATTTGATAGTCATTAATGAATTATAAATAAGGAAATTAATAAATGTTTTATGAAAGTAAATTAGTTTAAATGGGTTGATTGGTATTTGTATTCATTTCAATGCTTTCTTCAATTGTGTTCACATTTTGTCGTTCATTGACAGCAAAACAATTGATTATACGCTTTACCCGTCGTTTAAAGCTTTCGTTTAGCCAGCAATAGATGAATGGATTGTAACTGTTAGACAAATATTGAAAAATATATCTTATTTTTAATAAACATTATATAAGTTTTATTAATATAGATATTATTTTTTAATTTAATACAATTATATAATAATAATGTAAGTTAAATATAAATTATATTCAATGTTCATGCATAATACATTTAGGCCTAATTGCATAACTCATGCTAAACTAGCTATAACTAATTTACAGTACTTAAAACTGTAATTAATTATTACTTATAATACAAAATAAATTTCTCGCTAACAGGGATTATAAACTAGTTAATTTGCTAATATAAACAGAGAATAATAGTGTAATTATTACTATTGTAAATATTTTAAAATATTGTTATACATTATAATTTTACTCTCATTCATACCCTCTAGAAAATGCTGCTTTAGATACATTTGCATAAATAAAATATACTTTAATTTTATTGCTGACTTGAATTTATATAGTAGCAACTCTTTCTCTAGGTAAATCATAACTTATTTAAATTGAAAATTGTGATGTATTAAAAATTATTTTATGTTATTTTATTGTTTCAAATCAAATTGTTTAATATTTGTTTTTATATTAAATTTATTGCAAATATTATAATTCAATTATTTATATTAAAGTTGACGTCAAATAAAATTATAAATTATCATATTTTTTACAAACACAAGAATATAAAAAATATTAAAACTTTAAAATTTAGTATTAGTTATAAGTTTGTCGAGAGAGAGAGAGAGA